TCTCTCTCTCTCTCTCTCTCTCTCTCTCTCTCTCTCTCTCTCTTTCCCCTCACAGATTCACTTAATTTAGTCTATTCTGTTCAAGACTAAGGGAATAAAATTTTTGAATTTCCATCTTTTTTTCCCCCTTAGAATTGGAAGAAATTCTGCAATTGGTATAATTATCTTTCCTTTGGGGCTCTTTTTTTGAAAGGTAGATATTCGTCTTTGTTTTTTTGTTTTTTTTTTGTTTTTGAGACAGGGTCTCACTGTAGCTCCAGCTGACCTGTAATTCACTATATAGACTAGGCAGGCCTCAATCTCACAGAGATTTGCCTGCATCTGCCTCCAAATTCTGGGATTATAGGTGAGCGACACTACGCCTGGCTTCAAAGATATTTGAGTATATTTAATTTTTATTGACTGTATATGATTGCAAAATATAGATATGCCAAATCTTTTTCTTTTTTCTTTTCTTTTCAGTAATATTTCTAGTCTTTGAAAGCTTTATATAATGTATATTAATCATATCCCTTCATCACTACTTTCCTTTAATCCCCATCCTTTCTCCCTCCCAACTTCATGTTTTTTTAAAATTATTTCTTTAATAACCATATAAATAGAAGAGGCATTTCATTACAACAGCACTGACAGATTCAATAACAATTTCCAGAGCTAAGACGCTTCTCTTTCAAAATTGGGTGTAAATTTTGAAATGGATTAATTGATTCAAATTGAAATGTGAATTTTGAAGTTGAATTAATAGTTATACAATATTGTACTCCGTGTAAACCCTGTAAGACATACAATTAAATGAGGTTTTAAACTTTGAGAAAGTTTATTAAAACACACAGTTTCATACAGAAAAATTCATTTTTAATACAATTGACACTAAGATGTATATGCATTTCTAATCTCTATATACCTGACTATTACTAGCCACAGTCTGTTACTTTCCGAGGTCCTTGGCATCTGAGCATGGATACAAACTCATCAGGTAGATTTCAATGGCAATATTTTCCACATCCACCAATTATTAAGGAGCAAATTTTTATGCTTTGAAGAATTATTATTTTTTAATTTTAAAATTATTTTTTTAATTTTTTTTTTTTCATACAGAAGAATTCATTCCAAAGCAATTGACATTGAGACGTTTTCACATGCATTTCTAATCTCTATATACATGACTATCACTGGTCACAGTCGCCCACCTTCTGAGCTCCTCGGCATCTGAGCATGATTACAAACTCATAAGATAGACAGCCTTCCTCTCCCAATAGAGGCTCCATAATCTGGTATTGTTGCTTGTTATGTAGCCTTTAGCTATACATATGGACTCTTATGAAATTATATTGATCCCCCTTTAATTTTTGGTTATACTTTCCTTTTGGGTGTTTAAAGCCACACAGTTGGTCCAGATAAACCGATTTATTTTTACTATTAAGGTCGTTGGAGGATTTGTTCCTCAGGGATCACATGGGCTTGGGAGGAGCCCCTGGCTCCTTTTACCAGTTCTGCCTATGTGAAGATAACTCAAAGGTCCTGCTCGACCATGGTTGGCTCTGCTTGGAAGCATGGAGGAAACAATTCCTCTGTGTTGACCCTCCTCTTTATAGACAGGACACTGGTTCAAGGCCATCTGGTGGGGTCTCCTCGGCCTCCTTGATGAAGAGGACAGGAGACCCACCAGTATTATAGGACATTTTGAGAGATACTCATAGTCCTCTGGAACTAGTCAACCTAGGAGGGCAAGGAGAAAAAAGTGCCCTTTATGTCTCTCTGACCAAATTATTATAGACCTCAAAGTATGTCTGTTAGACACCAAAGAAGGTTAGTTCCACCAGTCTGGTATTTTTAATTACCCAAACACTCTCAGATAAACCTTGCCTAGATATATATTATATTCCTTGACCTAGTTGTATGTATAATTTGTCAGTAAGTTATTTGATTAATACGATTCCCTCTGGTTTTTTTTTAACTAGCTAGGCATTATGTATCGTTCACATTTTCAAACCCTTCCACCATGGTTTCCTCATTTTCTCTGGTTTTCAAAACTAGCTAGGCACTGTTTATCTCTTACATTGTCTCACCCCTCCATCACGGTTTTCCCTCTTAAGGCCCCCATTTTCCCCCTTTCTCCCTTACTAATACCCTTCTCCTATGGTCCCAACTCTCTTGAGCTCCTTCTTTTCCTTTATCCTCTGGGTACCTTGTATAACCCCTAGGTTCCTTGTATACCCTTCCCTCCCACCTCCCTTAAACTAACCCAAATTTTATACATATCTCCCTTATTAAGGCCTGTTTCATACTGTTCTGCTCTTTCAGGTTCTTTCCTTTCTTTTACCTCTCTGTTTCCTTTCCATTATCCTGGTTCCTGTAGTTATGTCTGGATACATACTCACTTATGATTTGGCGATAGGATCCACATATGAGGGAGAACATTCATTTTTTTTGTTTTGTTTTGTTTTTCTGAGTCTGTATTACTTCACTTAGTATAACAGTTTCTAGTTCGATCCATTTACCTGCAAATTTCATGACTTTCTTTACTGCTGAGTAAAATTCCCTCTTTCTTAACTGCTGAGTAAAACTCCATCGTATAAATGAACCACATTTTCACTATCCATTCATGAG